CCAACAACGGCGACTGCTGCTGCTGATGACGATGACGTCGAGGGGGAGGTGGTGGAATGGGCGGTTGAGGAGGAGGATAGCAGGGGACTGGAGGGGCGGGGAGGGGCTGGAGACGACAATGATGAGGCTGCCGCCTGATGATGCCGCTGACGTGAATGGCAAAGTACTAAATGCTAGGTGCAGCAGCAGCTAAATCCGTGTTTTTGTCATCGGACGACCCGCATCGTCTAAGCCGCACATTGTACATATGATCCGATATGAGCCGCACTCGGAGAAGATAACCCTACAAAGGGAAAGGACAATAATACACCACGAATACTACATGTCCTATGTTCAGTATATGGGAAAAAGGTTTACAAAATATATTAAATATATCTACTAATCTAATATATATAACTAATAAAATTGTATAATTTACGCAGAAAAAGAAATAAGCATTAGAATTAAGTATTTGAGGTTAAATGTTTTTAAGTTCATTGCATTTTACACATAAGCTTATAGTTTCCGTTTTTACTTACTGTAAGTAAAAGCGCTTTAATTTATCAAGGAGTGTGTTTATCAGCAAGGGCAAGCAAGCATCTACCCCTTCTTCCAGCCACGCCCCTATTGTCTTGCGATAGCTTAATATTGCATATGCACGACGCGTCATTCATTCATTCAATGCCCTTCCGACTGTCTATCGCTGGGGATACCACTGCTCCCCGACCGCCACTCCTGATAATTCCGCGACTGCTGCTGGCTCCTTTGATTGCATTGTCTCGTCATGGTCTCGAGTTCGAGTGGTTCCTGGCATCGCTTTTTTACCCGACCCTTTCTTTTTTACTTCTCGGCCCCTTCAATTCCCTATCTAAAGCCCCTGCCCTTGGTTCAGTGGCGGATCTTTGTGTTTTTTTGGGGATCTAATATATCTATATAAGTAGTCTGTAAAGCCAAAAAGCACTCTATCAGTTTTATATGTTTGATCATAGATTAAAAAAAACAATCTGAAATTTCGTGTTTTATACCATTTCTAATTATAATAATTACAGAAAATCTTACAAATTCGAGAACATTTTTATAGCCCCTATAAAATATTCCTCATATCCGCCCCTGGACCCATTTCAACGTGTTTCTTGCTGCCTGCTCACTTGACATACAATTATGTTGATGACATTGTTGTTTATATGCCTCTTTTTTCGCTGCTGCTGCTGCTGATGTTGTTGTTTTTGCTTCCTTCAACTGCAGCGGCAACAACAATGCGGACAATTTTTATGGGCATTCTAGAGCTGCGGCATAAGTTGAGGCCCATATATCTCCCGCTCTCACTTTGGCGGATCTGGCATATGTATCTGTCTATGCCATAGCTAAATTTCCTGCACCCGGCCATGTTTCATGGGACGGGTGTGTAAGATATATGGAAGTTTAGGTAACAGTCAGTCCTTCGGAACAGATATTTACTCTAACAGATAAACAATTGAACGCAATTCAACAAAATGTACATACTTTATTTTGTAATAATTTAAAAGTATTCATGTGGGTAATGAAAGGAGAAATATATCTACTACCATTTTGCCTAAACTTTAAAATGACTTTATTTACTTTAACATTAATTTCACATTTATTGAATTATGTCAGTGTAATATACTTATACTTATCAATACTGCTAAATCGTGCCTTTTCAGAATGCTTTCACTTTGCTTTTTGTTAGTAAGTAAATGTTTTTTCCGATTCCGATCTCCGATCCGAATTAATGTCATTAAACAAAATTGGCCAGTTATAATGAAACCACTCAAGGGCGACCACACATTTATAACAATTTTTTCAAATTATTTTTTCAATGCTACATTAAACTACAAAATGTTTATTGCTTAATAACCAAATTTTTCAATTAACCTTAGACCGAAGTGACAAAAATAATTTAATCTTTTGGCTTAATCGCTAACGATGAGTTAGTTTAATCCATTTCAGGCGACCTAAGATCCAAAAAGCGTATACTCCGCAATCCTCTCTATCTCATTTTATGTGTTATAGTGGAAGTCTTATTGCCAGTTCCACCAAATTAACATAGGCTTCCACTAAAGCAGTTTTCCCTTTGCAAGGCCTTAATTAAAAATTCGTTGGGTGTCAAATGGCCCGCTGATGTAGATGTTGTTTCTGTTGCTCTAGGGTTTCTCTTTCGACTGAGTGCCGCTCAAGTGCAATTGTCTCGACTTTTCTGAATGCAGTATATACGTAGATATATCTTCTCCCTTCGAGATCTCTTGGCATGTCATCGCATCCACAGCCTCATTTTATACATTCCGAGAAGCAACCGCATAAATTATTTGCCTTGACGTGGGACTTCTAAGGATTCCATTCCTGCGAGATGATCAAATGTTTCAGATCGAACAAATGTCAAAGGAGGAGTGGGGAAGCTACGCAGCAATTAAGTGACTTTTTCTGCTCCCCAAAGATGACCCGTAGAAACCCCGGATTACGTCTAATGAAGAAAAATGAATTGCACCGATGATTCGACAGATTCAAGTTTCCATTGGGGAAAGTTTTTTCGCCCCCCTTGCTGGAAAAGCTTTATCTAATAAATTTCCAACCAGCACGTAACACAAAATATGCGTGTAAATTTCAGTTATTGATTTATGGTGAGGCACGTACATATGTGAGTGTGTGTGGGAAGCATTTGTATAAATACGCAAAATAATGGCATCTCCAATGTGCGAACTTCCCCTGACCATAAATCAAGATGAGCCCGGCAAACAAAACGATTTTCATGCCTCCTTTTCGCTCCTCCTCGCGAAAATACATTTATTTCAGCTAGGCCAGCCTTTGCGAGAAAAGTTCTATTTGATTTCGTATTAGGAGCGAAACTGCTGAGCTCACATAAATTCCGCTTTTAAGCGAAAATTAGTGAGGGGCAGGTGGAAGTGGAAGTGGAGCCGAGTGGAACGGAATCAGCCCGAGAGATTAAAGTTGGCAACGTGCCGTAGTACGTGGCTGGGAAATCATTTTCTGGCGCAACATTTTCTGCCATCTCAGCTCGACTTTCGAGCAGGAACGTGAAAAGTTTTCTGAACCGAAAATTACTTGGGCAAATATTGCTTTGTTCAATCGCCGCCGCAGCTTGGAAATTATGAGGGAAAACTTGCAGGCGGAGCAATTAGAAAACTTTTGCCTGGACAACTGTCTCAGATGGCACGAGGAAACTTCCCCACTGCACAAAGAAAATATTCGTCCTGTAAAAAGGAAATTCTAAAATAAAGCAATCAATAAATTCCTATCACATTTTTAATAATGTTCAATTATATTCAACTTTGCTTGGGAAATTTCTTTATATTTCTCAAAAAATTAATACACTTCGAGCATTTTTATACATTTTATAATTAAGATATTTTTATATTATATTTTATTTTATTTGCTTTCTTTGTACATTTCAAAGTAATATCACGAATTCAACATGAAATTTTCCTTTCGCCTGCCAGGAAATTAAATAATCAATAAGGCGCTCGGACGCAAAGACACAACTTTATGGTAGGCGAAATAAAATTGAATTTCCCTGAAGACAACCCCTTTCTCGGAGTCCGTGGATCTCAGAGCTATTGACTTTCCTGCTTTAATGAGATTCCCTGTCAAGGCTGAGCGCATGCCCAACGCCCTTCCCGAAATCGTTTAATTGCACACGCGGCCCGTGGAAAGGGTCTTATGTCCACGGACTACCTGCCTTTCCCTGTCGAATTCCCATTCCTATTCCCATTCCCATCCCGAACATATGGCGGTCGGACATATAGCAGCCCGGCGAGTGGCTCGTAAAAAATTATCTCCTGCATTGTTCCACAGCACGGTCGGGGTGCCCATAAAATCCCAGTCCCGAACGGCGAACGACGAACACCAAACCCAACCCAACCAACAACCCAGAACCATCCCAGGCATAAATCACGAGGAACTTGTTAATTGTGCGCCTATTTATTAGATGCATTTGGTTTTTCGGGAAAATTGAGGTGGTAAGTGATAGGCAGACACATGCCGCTAAAAGGGGAAAAACAGACGTCGAACAGGTGACTGTGTGTGCCTGTGCCAGACTTCGATAAGATAGAAGGGAAGACAGGCTGGGGGCTCCAAGCCAAGTCGAGAAATCAAAGGGGCCGTTCACAGAATTCACTTCAATCGGTCTCCAGCAAACACAAAAGCCCTCTTTTCCACTCAACACTTTCAGGCTGTCAAAACAATTAATAAGATATATATTTTTAGGGCCAAGAGGAGACTTCTGCCGACTAGTGCAATCAACTTGTTTAATTAATGCTGTGATATATATATTAAATTAAGTCACAAGTGTCTTTACCATATGATGCGCAGCAGACACACCCAAACCCATTCGCACAAAACCCGTCTTTCTCCGCGTTATTAGTTTATTACTTCTGATAATAAAGATAACTTGATCACTTGAGCTTGTCACACAAGATTTTAATGTGATGCTGGGAGAAATAAATACATTTTGACGAAATAAATATATTTGAACTTGAAGTAGGCATTTAATTATATAAAGCAAAGATCTTATAAAATATATAATGCTTTTTAGCTTGACTTAATTTAAACTCTACTTAAGAATTACTCCCCGAAAAATAGTATTAAGCGATCATTTAAAACTAATTTTAAAACATAAATTCTGTAATTATAACAGGGTTCTTTCCTTCTCTGTAAACGATATATGTGTAATTAATTACTCATTTTTGTTTTCAACCGTTATAGTTAACCATTTGGATATAAAAACACCCTGTGTTTCATTGTGAAGAGTAATCACTGTTGTTAAATTTAAAAATCTATAGACATACGTAGTTCACAATCGCAAGAGTTATTAAAGCTTCAAGTCACCCACCTGGATTGTTTGTTCTAATGTGGTTTTGCCACTTTTTGTCTGAAATAATTATTATTTTGCATCCAAAACAAGTTTGGCCAGCTTCTTATTGTCGAATATTCCGAGTTTTTGCACTTCTCTTGGCTAGTTGCAATTTGGTGGCAGTTAGTACAACATCATGTCTTCCAGAATAATATCAGTGGTGAGTCTCGAGGGCATCATTAATGTTTAATTTAAAAAGTGACAATTCCCAGTGGGTTTTCGTCCTGTGTCTTAATCTATTTGACTTAACACCAGCCATCGGTGGAGGATACCAGCTGCAGATTAGTCATCCAGATGGATCGGCTTTTCGACAGGAATCGGTGATCGAGGATGCTGATGGAAATTCGCAGGTCGAAGGTGAAATACGACAAGTTTTTTCTGAACCGCATGGAGGATCCTTAGCTGTTTTCTATAAAACCGGATCCGTGGGATACAGGGTACAATTTTCCTTTACGAAATCTTCAACGCCGATGCTCGCTAAAAATGGAACATTTCCAATAAAAAGAATCGGAGTAAATGCTCTGAAGTCAACAGCAGGTTGAAAACATACATTTGTTAAGTGATGTCAATGAGTAAAAGTTATAATTAGCGAATAACGTAAACATTCTGATAAATTGTGGGTATTGGGAATGAGTATGGGGTTTACAGTTCGACTTTTTAATGTCAATATGTGTACATAATTTGGAGATGGATAATTTGATGATGTCACGATTAAAGTTCTGCATTTATATTCGGTTTTACAATCGTTTTTAATTAATAAATACATAATCTGTCTTTCAAAAATCCGGTCAACTATTAAAATAAAACAAAGAGAATAAATATATTGTCTCTTCTATCGAAATCTATTTTTTTTAAGATGACATGCATTTTGTATTACATTTTACATAGAGTGACCTAAGGAAAGTATTTCTCCTAATAATTGTTCTTACAGATTTGAAATCTTTCCAAATAAACGATTCTACTTTTATTATTAAAAAAAGGTCTTATATGCAACTGTCCCTTAAAATACCATACACAATTATATAAGTTTTAAATTATAACGAATGACTGACTAGTTAGTGCACCCATGAAACCAATCCAGTAACCCCGACCCATCTCCTCCACCTCTCAGAATAATCTATCAGGCTGCAATCCGAACCATTTGAATAAACATAAGCGGTAACAAATATTTATGGGCAATGGAGCGAATGTTTCCATTTCGAAGAGCTTATTTATTTGTGAAACAACTTTTCCAGGCAAATACAGACCCACATAATAAATAGTACGACTGCGTGTGTCTACAAATACACAAAATTCCGAACACAGTTTTGTATATTTCGTGTGTACTTTTCTGTCATGCCAGCTAACATTTAATGTTTTTATTTGGTTTCATTAATGACAATGCTTTGTTGCCAATATTGACATGTTCTCTATCTTCCTCTTTCCCAATGGGAGTATGTGAGGAGGTCGAAGCATGGCAAACTAAGTCAATGGCATCGAATACTGTAGTAGACCGGAATTCGAGCGATCTCGATTAAATACCTATTTATTGTATTTTGTTATATGAGTATATTAGATTTATTTAACGTTAAATATTTATTTATTTCCATAGAAATTCGATTATATGTTAATATAATAATTAATTGTGATTAGGGTATAATTGAATGCCAGCCTTCTATTTTACTTTAGGGTAAATCAATATTATTTTCTCTTTTTATGGGAGACTATAAAAATTTAAACTGGTTTTCCCATAAAGGGAACTGCAAAACATATTACAAAATGGCCTAAACACAAAGCCCAAATACTAACGTTTAGATTTTCAAAAATAAATACTTTAGGCGACTAAATAGAACGATGCTTTATTGTGTTGTACATTCTGCAAGCAAAAATCTCTAGTTATTTAGAGCAATAGCTTATTTAGGAAAAATACAAGCAGAAATATTCAATTATATATACTCTGACTGTTCTTTCTTCATATCTATTAGGTCTCATCAAGGATTTCTGGGGAAGAAACCCCAGGGTATTGTAAGCTTCGACAACTCGGGCCTTTCACCCTGGCTCTTGTTTATGTTTGCATAGTTGGTTGACGATGATGATTGCCAACTGTCGACAAGGGCCGCTGTTGTTGTCTGTTTATAAGAATTATATCTGCACTCTGCGAGCCCTGCTGTGCTCATTTGTGTTCTCAGCCGGCGAACACACGAGCAGACGCAAACTTCGATGGGGGCCAGACATCCGCACACATGCGATGAGGCGTTCAATTACTTTCCTACATTATCGGTAATTGCCTAATGCGGTTATCGGCAACAAAGGCGCGGAACTATCTCCCAAGGAAAGCCATCCGTGTCCCCCGCTCCATTCAGGTGCACTGAGGGGCAAACATCCATTTGAAATTCATAAGCTCATTAAATTTTCAGCAACCAGCTCGGCAATCAGTAGTCAGTCGGCAGTCAGCAGTCAGCAGTTTCCCAGACTGGGCAAATACAATTAAAATGCCATAAAGCAAATTAGCCAAGACAAACTTTTCATATTAAGCCGCGAGCTGTGCAAATTAGATGCGACAAGATGGGCGGCTTGTCGAGGGGCCTGAAGTGGGGCACCTCGCATTTCAGGGGGCAGGGCGACACTAAAACACATCCTGCGCCTTCGTAATTGCCTGGCGGAGCACTCGTGGCTGGCAACTCCAGCAAATTGTTGGCAATTATGTGGCACAAAGTAAAGTAAAACACACTGCGACAGCATCGAAATGCGGCGGGGAAAGTCCGGGAAGAGGCAGCATTCAAAGGGGACAATCTCTGTGCTGGCCGGATTATCACGGAATCTGTTCGCCGAAGCTGGGCTACTCGGCAGAGAATTATGGAATCAAATCTGATAAGTTTTCATTCGCCTTCCGCTTTTTATACCGAGCATCGAATGATTTTTTTCAACTTTCTAATTCAACGTTGTCCTACATAAAAACCCATTTAATCATCATATCATAGAATTTTAAGTTTTGATTTTTAACAGTATCTTAGTTAAATCACATACACTGAATTAAAAAAATGAAAGAAACTAAATAATATTTACATAAATGCTGTAAAATCGAGTATGAAAAACTTGCATATTAAATTAATACCTTTAAAGTTATTCAAATGAAAAATTAAATATAAAATGTAAAACAATCAAAAGAAAAACCATTATTTAGTGTACGCAAAGATTGCTTTTTGTTTTTGCTTGTAGCTATTATTAGGAAATCAATCCATTCTCTATTATTTAACTAGCAAATTACTGAGATTACAGTTGTCAGACTAGGAGTATTTAAGAATTTTCCCTAATATCTCAACTCACTCTACTTGCTTTCATCCCTCCCTTGGTGGCTTGCCCCTCTTGGTTCGACAACCGGCCGGCAAGTGTATTAAATTATAATTATTTGTGCATGACAAAGGGTCATGAAACATGCCTAATGACACATTTGCCACAGTCTGGAACAAAACGCGGGCCGCCACCACAGCAACAACAAGGGCGGGGTGGGGGATGTGGATGGGAGGGAATCCTGGGGAGGGGTTGGGAGGTCGCCCAAGGGACAGACCTTACGTGCCTCCCTCTTGTCAGGATAGCGACATCGGCCCTATGTATATGCCTACAATTAACCACGCTCGTTATGTTTCAGGCGTGCGGCAGCCGAAAAGAAATTAAACTAAATTGCTGCAACTCTGAAAATTTCCACTTGTAATGCAACACTAGGAACACCACGGCTCCGCCTCAATAGAAAGTATTATCTGTCTGTCGAGCACTTAAATACCCTTCAAGTTCCAAGTGAAACTTGATTAAACTCCATTGCTTAAATGTTTTTTAATAACCCATATTTTACTCAGGTTGGTTTTCTTGAATAAATCAAGTAGCTTGGAAATATATATTTTTTTAGCTGATTATTATCTGCATTTTTTTCGCAAATTTTAGTAGACAATTAAAACTAGTTTCATAAAAAATATTTTTTTAACTTAGAAATACTCTGAAAAAATGTTGAAAATGATTTCGGTGAAAGCCTCAAGCGAAGCTAGAAGCTATTTAATATTTAAAGACGATTAAAATTTAATTTAATTTTTTATTCAAAATAGAAGATATTGCATCAACTATAACCAGTAACAACCTTCCTTATTAAAAAAAGGTTAAAGGTCCGCCAATTGGTTAATTTTTTGTTTCAAAAGTTAAAATCTTTCATGCAATAGCTTTTTGTATTAAGAATACAAAAATTCTGTTCCAGTGTTCCCATGATTTTAAAAAAGTTTTCATCTTTATTAGTTTTGAAACTAATAATTTATAGAATACTCTTTAGCATATAACTCTTCATCCGAGTGGGTGGGTTGAACCCCCTAATCTCCCCCGTGGATCTGCGCACGTACTAAGCCCTTGGAAACTTTTCCGTCGGTGCAAAAAATAAGTTTCATGTCGATAGCTCTTTAACTAAGCGTGTGTATCCCACAGAAATAGATGAAGGGCACGCCTACATGCTGTTATTTCAAAACACATTTTGAATTTAAATTATTTGTACAAAGATTAACTGTTTATAAGTGAAAATATAAGGAAGAGTATAACAGCATTGTAAGAAGCCAGACCCGAACAAGTCAGCAATCAGCTGGTTTTTGGACTAATGTCTATTAGGCATTTGCCTTGCTGGAAGTTTTCCGACCCCTTCCCCTGGGTTTTCCGCCCCTTTCATCCCCCGAAAACTTTTCATTTGCTGCACAGTGGAATGGCCAAAGTTGTGGAGCCAAGGAGCGCGATAAGAGCACTCGGGAATGTTTCATGTTTTTGCCAAGGGCCTGCAGATAAGATCCGTAATGGTGCTCGCCACATTTAGTTGGCTGCACAGTTTTGGCTTAGTTTAGTGACCATTAAAGGAGTGCTTTAGGAATGTTTCTGACCAACACGGGTTCTTTTGACCTTAAATCGATTTTATCTTTGAAGAATTTCTCGTATTAAAAGTAATTGATAAACCAACTATGAGGAAAATATTTAAAATTTCGTTTTAAATTTCTAGCTATTATAATTTCTTGGATAATGTGTTTGGAACTTAAATTAAAATGCAGGCCTATTCAGATATGTTTTTAATATACATATGCTATTTTAATTTAAATGATTTAGTCGCATATTTGCGAATGAATTTGGGAAGAATCAACCACATTTGCAAATCTATTCTTATGTCTGCAAAATTCATCTGAATATTACTAGGTTTAAATTTGTTTTCCATTGTTCATTAGCTGTTCATTAGTTCCAACTCAAACCAATGCAGTCTTTACGTCAAACTCGCCTATCAAGTTGTAATGAATTAGGGACAATATAAATAATAAATGATTTTCTCAAACATTTCCAATCGCAGCAAGTCACTTTTGCAAAATTCATCTCAATTTGTATTATAAGTTGTTGCTGGTTATAATTAAATTAATAAATATATACCAAAAAAGTTGCAATTAAAACTTTGTTAGCTTAATAAAATTCAGTACATCAGTTCGGCTGTCAAGTTGCAATGAAATTTGGACACCTTTTTCCTATTAGTGGCACTTTGTTTGCATTTCACTTAAGG